AGTGGGTGGGAGTTTGGGTGTGGGTTTTGGTGAAGATAGCGGAGGAAGGGCTTCGCGCGGTGCATGAGAGCGTGGGCTGGGAACGAAGGCGATTTTGGCGCGAGTTGTTACGACGGAAAGGGAAGGGGGGTTTATTTTGCAGGTGTACCCCTGATCATAAATTAACTACATTCATTGCTTGATTTTTTTTTTTAAATAAAAAATATTTTTAAGTCGATCCCTTTTAACTCCGAACTAAAAACCAATACTAGCTTCAAATTATCAGGTGGATTAAACTCGACAAATCAGATTTTGTATTCAATGCACTACGTGAGAATATTTTAAGAGGAATTAAAATTGAACTGGGGTTAATCATAATTAGGCAAATAACCACGTCCGAATTTAACCAGGTTTTGTTCAACCCGACGCTAGTCTGGGCTATTTCCGGATTAGTCCTTGATATGCCAAAGACCCTTATAAGAAAAGCCAGTTTTTTTTTTTTATTTGTGCATCAGTTCTTTTAAAAATACAAAAAAAAATATCCTTACACTTTAAAAAAAATCAAAAGAAACGCATTTAGGGGCTGTTTGGTTGGTTTCTTTTGCCCCTGATTCCCTGCCAAAACATCTTTTTTAGGGGCTGTTTGGAAAGATGTTTTTTAGGGGGAAAGGGCTGGAAAGCCTGCCAAAACCCTGCCAAAAGTGTTTGGCAGGCTTTCCCCCTATCCAAATCGCAAACAAACAGCCCATTAGGAGAGTTTTGACAAGAAAGCTGTCAAAACTGACAACAAGCCGTCAGTTTTGATAGGAAATCAGGGGAAGCAAAACAAACAGTCCCTTACACTTGCTTGCTGCAACAGATAGTTAATTAAGAAAAGGCAGAGTTTTGGTCATGTAGGGCACAATTTTGGTAATCCGAAAATGCCCTTGGAGTTTCTGAATGCTTGAGACTTATTATTAGGGGCAAAATATTAAAATTCTATTAACGCGACTACGTTGCTCTTTCCGCCCGAATTCCGAAAAGAAATAGAGCTGGAGTTCATGCCTGTATCCATCCAAATCACAACGAGACAGATGAACGCGAACATCATTATCAATTTTGACACAAACTTTTTTCTGTATACATTTTATATTTGCTTCGATATTAAGGTGTTGATAACATTTTTCTATTGACAAGTAAATACTATGAAACGCACGCATCGCTTAGGGGCCGTTTGGTTCATGCGAAGGCATTGGGCTTTGGGCAGAAAGCCTGCCAAAGTGTTAGTTTTGGCAAGGTTTCTGTCCAAAACTAACACTTTGGCAAAACCCTGCCAAAAGAGGCGTTTTGAGCAGAAACCCTGCCAAAACTAATACTTTGGCAGGCTTTCTACCCAAAGCCCAATGCCTTCCCATGAACCAAACGGCCCCTTATAATCAATCACAGCTGAAGTAACTAAAGAAGAAGCATTCCATATGTAACAGGTCTATAGCAACAGAAGGCCCGTAAATATTTCTGCAGAATTGCCGGCAAAAACAACTACAATATCTGAGAATTCAAGGATAGACACAGAATTTTTCTTACACGAAATCACAACAAGCTACAATTTCATAAGAATGGCATCATGAAAAAACAATTCTCCCTTAAAAGCCAAGGACAGGTTATTCCTATCATCAGAGACAAAAACTCTAACGTGAAGCAAAGATGACAACAAAGAACTCCAGGAAAGGGCCGGGGAAAATGGAAAAAAAAAACTGAAAAATTCGAGTTATTTAAAAAGGAGGGAGGATTCTTCGATGGGCTTGGGAGTCTCTCTCTTCACATACATCTTCTCCAAATCGTTCTTCCAGCAACCGCCACCTCCACGCTTGTCACGGGGCCCCAGTTTCTCAACTGTGAAGCTCCATCCTTCTTTTTGTCCGTCTCCTGCTGTATTTATGGCATTTCACCTCTCCTGCTACCTGGAGGAAAATAAAAGGAAGGCAAAGGTTTTCTTTAGCCAGTTCAAAGTTGACGAAGTTGAATGCTATGTTTAAAAGATAAGGCCTTTTGCACAAAATTAGCCTTGGTTCAGTACTATATCTATTTCAGACATGACGATACAAAATGCTTGATATGGTGAATATAGATGTAAATGCAACTCCTGACCAAAGGGTCGTGGAATTGTATGGGCTGTACATTACTAGAAGGGCTATGCCTATTGTAAGAAGAGAGATGGGTAATACTTGAAGACAAGACAGACACAAAAAGTCTATATATACCCTACACATTTTCCTAATGTCGCTTTTCACATGAGATTAGTAACATCTTTACTTAAACGAGGTTTTATGCACGTGTAACGCACGTGGTTAAACACCATGATTAAGTATTTTTGGTTTACTTCCTTACTAAAATTTGATCATCGGGTCCACTTTGATGGTTTTTGCTCACCTATGTCTCTAAACTTCAGAAATTATGATTATTTATTTTATTTGTTGTTTGTTTAAATAAGCTACACGTAATTTAAATTTTCATGTTGATAATTGAATTGATAGGGGATAAATGTAATGCGAAGCCAATTTGAATAATGATGTTATTTGGACCGACATGAAACCAAGCTTGACCTGAGAAAGTATAGTGTTGGAAAAACAAAAAACACTTGAAAAAAATAATGTTATAAAAGGAAAATGAATAATTAAAGTTAATTAGACAAGATGAATGGTTAAAGGTGGGCTAAAACGACACAAAAGAGAATATGTACTTTGTTCCTAATTCTTGAAAGACTTTAAAAAAAATTATAAGCTAAAGATTAATGCTAAATTTAGTATACGTTTATATAATGAATGCATCCACTAAGCATATAAAAGTACTAAAAATAGTTCATGAAAATCTCTTCTAAAGATTCCCAATTTACTCAAAAAATTTAACCATTCCAAAAAATATTTAAAAAATGTGTCTTTCATTCCTTCTGTTTCATTTTTTGTTGAGCCGACATCAATCATTCTCCACCTTTATTTTTTTCAATAAAAGTAGACTACTTTTAGATGCTGAAAAGGGACAGTAAACTTGAAATTGTAAGTTAAATTAATATATCTTAATGAAAGAATATAAAACAACTACTCTTTTCTTTGCTAAGTTTAGAATTTTTAATTATTTTTTTGTGAATTTGAATTTTTTAGGGAGTTTTCTGCAAAATTTAAAACTTTGATAGTGTTTTTGAAACTTTTAAATTTTAAGTTGAGTTCTTGTAATTTCCATGTTTTATGTGTTGGTGGTAAGTTTTCGAAAGTCAGGATATTTCTTGCAACTCCGAAATTTTGAAAGTATTTTTTTTCAATTATTAAAATTTTGGATTGTTTTTTGTAAATTTAAATTTTCAACAGCCTATTGATAATTTTCAGATTTGATATGTACTGGTTATAAGTTTTGAAATTTTAGAGATTTCTGCGATTTTTAACTTTTGAGAGAGTTTTTTGCGATTTTCACAACTTTGAGGTTATTTTTTTAAAATTTTAAATTTTTATGTGCCTAATGGTAACCCTTTGAATTCATCTTTGTTGTTTACAAGTGTTGATATTTCAAAATTTTAGCGTTTTTTTTATTATTTGAACTTTTGAGGATGTTTTTATAATTTTTGAGGCTGCTATTTTATATTTAGGTTAGAAAAGTTCAAATTCTTTGGAGGTTGCTATTAATTTTCAAATTTCATATTTGTTGTTTTAAGTTTTGAGATGTCAGGATGTTTTGTGTAATTTTAAACTTTTGAGGGTATTATGTGCAATTTTCAAAAAAAATTGTTTATTATAATACTTCTAATTATAACATATTAGTTTTTTTATTTTAACGAACTAATACCGTGGAGCTATTTCAAGTATTTTATTAATCTTTTTTTTAATTGTTGACCTGTAGTTAGTTCATATGGAATTAGGATAGGGTATAATTATGAATAGGATAGATTAAGATTTAAATAAAGTATTCAAAATAGTTAAGGGTAATACTGACTATGGAAAGCTTTTTCCGAACTCGTACTTTTAAAGGGAGTATGATTTACAACTTGTAACTTGCCATTTGCATTTAACTACTAGAAAGTAGTGAAAACTAACTAGATCGTGATGTATGCTTGTGAAAATTACCTAGATCCTGATGTATGTGACCCTTCAACTCACAACTATTGAAGGCCATTTTCTCTCAAAAAAAAAAAAACTATTGAAGGCCATCATGACTCACCACCTCTTTGCATCTTAATGTGTGCCTAATGAGTTCGGCTGCTTACAAACTTCAAATATTATAAAAGTATATTTATGTCTAATCTCACTTATATTACTTTTCTAACCTAAATATATGTCACATGTAGAATTCTTGAGAATAAGATGTGCTATAAACTACACAATTGTGCGAGTAAGGTTAAGAGTATGGATGATTTCTTAGAAGCAAAGAATGCTCAGATATTAGGTAAGAAGCCAAGTTTGCACCATATGTTGGTTCAATCGCCTAAATCAATCTATGGTGGATTAAAAAATAATGCATGAAACTATTAACTTTGAAAATCCCATTTTCTTCCAACTATACTGCATCAAAAAATGAGAAAAAAGAAAAAAAAAAAACTGGGGTTTAATGCTTTAAATCAAAACTTATACTCTAGCAAGCCAATCAGCTTAGCAATTTTTAAATGTATTAAACTGCTACTTAAGAAGAATCAATATCTTGAAGGTAGAAAAATTAGATTTGAGTTAAAATCTGACCTTGCTTTCTTTTAGACACAAGTGTCTACAGAGAATGCAATTCTTCTTTTAACAGGTATGATCAAGAAAATAAGGGGGTACAATGCAGATATATGTACACAAACAAAGTAGTCGAAGTAGATCATAGAAACATTAACATAATTTTCAATGAGAAGATTAAGGATCCAGCTGATGAAAAATCAACAACATTTACTTGTCTGTATGGAAAAATATCACTGTTGAATTTCATGTTAATCTTTTCAATATACAAAATTGCCTTTTGCTTAGTGTTTGTACTTGTCGCATGCTACTCTTAATGAGATTTCACTTTTCTCATGAAACAAGAAATTATTTGAAAGCTAAATAGATCTTCATATTTATAAGTAAGCCCAAGTGACTATAGCTTTTTGTTCTTCATGAATCCAAGTAGTTTATGAATTTCAGTATAAATTGGCACCTCCCTAGGTGGCAGAGGAACACAGAGGAACACACAAGTCTGTCATCATAGCTGCTAGTGATAAGGAAATCGTTATAGACGTGAATGCATACCATCATTTTAAAAAAATCGTGAAAGCTTAAAATAAGTATCTCTAGCTTTGTCGGCTAAACTTCAAGTTAAATTAGGAACCAAGAATAAAACACCACAATAACAAAAGCCTTTATCAAGTCCAGGTCGGCTTACAAGAGTCCTTCACCATTTTGATCTGCTAAGGCCACCCAATACAAATACCATAGTGTTGCAATTTCAGCTATGCCCAGGATGTACATATTAATGAATTCAGAATAGTTGGACGGTGAGTGTGCATAAACAAGCTGACATTTACACGTGCTGTGATGAGGATAAAGAAAACCACACTAAGTGCGAAACTTACTTTTTTCTTGTTGAAATTCAAGCACAGAACAAACTCTTCATATAGCCTCTGGTCTTCCTTCATTGAGATCTCATAAAGAACCTCATCAGGGTCTCTTGTGGTGCCATCCCACCCCTCAGGCATGACCTTGAAGTCAGGTTTATATGCGAGAGATGCAACATGGAACTCCCCGTCATGGGAATGGAAGAATCTGCAACAGGAAATGGAGAAGCATTTACAGACAATGCTTTTACACAAGTAACAATTAAATTGCCAAAATTAACCTGGAAACCACTAGATTTTGTGTGCAAATTTGTGTTTCATGAATGCCTGTGGCTGGGTCATCACTGGACTTATAGGTCGGTTTTTTCTTCCCCCTCTTTCTCTCATTATTTACGGGACCTGAGATACTTCACAATACCCATTATTTATTTCCCAGCCAGTTCATTGATTAGAAAAATATTGGACTTGAATGATAAAGAAATTCACCTTGATTCTCAATAGTCATTCAAAAGTTCCTGTTGGCTAAAAAGGTCATCATCACCATCTTCATCCATATATCAAATGGATGTAGAGCTTTTCCTTTATAACTCATATTTCTTTGTTACAGATTGTTGCTTCATTAGGTTGTTTCTACCCAAATCATTTTACAATTCATTTCTATTTGGTGCTACGATTACTATTTTATGGGCAGGCAGCATGTTAAAATGTGAATAAACAATCATATATCATACTAATATTAAAAGAAAAAACAGCAAAGATCTCTGCACATACTCCGAAAAATTATTAAGCAAGATCTCGACCGAATCATCCAGCGGCTTCCCAGCCCTCTCCTCCTCCTCCTCCTCCTCCTCCTCCATCTCCTTCAACCAAAGAATGGCATGCACCCCTCTGCCTCATAACCCTATAATCCTTCGCCAGTTTTCTCGACTGTGTTCACCTCCGGGTCCTCCTTATACAAGCTATACATCTCCTCCTCCTCCGGATCCTTCAAGCACTCCCCTCTCGCCCCCGGCTCCCTCGCTTGCTTCATCAGATTATAAGCCTCCATCATCCTCTCACCCCACCCTCCCACCCACAAACTTCCTCCTCTCCCTGTCATCTTTATCCACCATTTTGACTCTTCGTCCATCGAGATGGCGATCTCTCAAGCGGATGACGGCGGAGGGATCTTGGGGGTGATCGCCGGCGGCGGCGGTCCAAGGTTTGTCTTGCGCAGGCGTCGTTATTGTTGTCGCCGGAGGTTCAGAAGAAGCTGATGGGGGAGGAAACCCTAGGTTGGTTGACTCGGCGGCGATGGAGGAGGGATCGGAGACTTGCGAGCATTGTAATTTTTCTTTTTTTTTTTTAATTAGGGTTTTCGTTTGATTTCAAAATGGGGGCTTGATTTTAGAATCGATGAGGAATAGAGTGACAAAATTGGGTTGAGCTTCTGTTATGCGTGCAGGGTTTTCGCTGGTTTAGGGTTTATGCCGCCCTTTCTTCTTTGTTAGGGATTGTTTGGACTTGAACGGGGTTAAGGGAAGTTAAAAGGGAAATGAGAGAAGTGAAGGGAAGGGCTCACCCTAATTTGGGCTAATAAATTTCATACTATTAAGGGGTGAACCAAAGAAACCAGGGTGAATAACTTTTACCTCCTAAATGTTCCCAAACAAGTTGAATGGTTCTCCTAACTTCCTTTCCCCCTTATTCCCATCAATCCAAACAAGCCCTTAGATAAAAAAAAACAGCACTTTGTTAGCTTATAGTTTCCGTAACTTTGCAATTATATACCCTGATTTGTTTCTTGCAGCGTTTATATGTTCTAAAGTTGTATTAAATTTGCATAGTAGTATCTTCTATTAAGGAAATTTGAAAGCTTTCCCTCGAGTGACACTCATATGCTATTTGATTTTCAATTTCATATGAGAACATGTGGGCGAAAATTTTCATACTTGAGGAGTACAGAGTAGTAACGAAACAAAAATTTTCATACTTGCAGAGTACAGAGTAGTAACGAAACAACTCAGCGTATAAAAATGCTGCGAAAAATAAGTGAGGAAATATAAGTGCAAAGCGGCACTGCTACATTAGGAACTTGGTAAAATATCACGCCTGAATAAAACAACTAGTGAGATAAAGACTGTTAAGATTAAACTACCCCACGCAATACATTTCAAAGTGCAATACTACAGGAGGCCTATGTGCAATTATCCCTGTGCCCTTGCCATACCATAATACAGTGCGAATCAACACCATGCAATAATAATACAACAAAATCCCACCAAAAGATTCGACATCAGGCTTTTTCACAAACATTAAACAACAGATGATTAATGACTAAGACGAGGTACATCATACGTAGTCCTTCACAAATACATCTAAACCACAACCATGACGCTAAGAAAACCCTAGGATACGGACACAAGCTAATAATTGAACAACAACATCAACAGCTAAAAACTCACAAACATCATCAGCGCCTAAGCCTACATCAGATCAGATAACATAATAAGAACAAAACAACCAAGTTCTTGAAGAAGCTACAACGTTACAACGAGAAGCAAGGGGGGTGGGTTTCCATTTCATTTCCATGGCATGCTACTCATCCCCTGCTGGACGCTGTTATTGCACGTGGTGCCCGTGCTCTGGTTCATCGGGCTGCCAGGGCCGCCGCCGGAGGACTCGCTCAGAGTGCCTCGTGATGGTGGGCCTGGCGAGCTTTCCCGGGACGGAGGAAGGCTCAAGGGGAATGGTGTACTTTCGTTCTTTCTTTCCTTCAGCAAGAAAACTGCCCACCACGACCTGCAGTGAAAGATCTTGTACTTTTTCATTTCTTCAGAAGGAACACAGAGAGACAAATAAAATTTCATGATATGTTAAATCCAGATCTTGTACTTTTTTTTGGCGGTGCCCCCAGACTTTAATTGGTCCCCTTCTTCAGTCTGGTCAATATGATTCCACAAGATCTATTTTCGTTCAAGTAAAGGATTCTAGCCAATCGAAAGGATTTACCAATCAATCTAGAGATTATTTCGATTCCATTAGAAATGAGGATTCAGGACAATTTGAGTGCAAGTGCTTTGGAGCCTTCATATATTAAAGGGTAAATTGCACACAACCCCATCATTTATATCTCTCATAGCACTTAACACCTCTCAACTAATTTATTAGCACTAGGGCTAAGTGCGGGCATCAAGTGCAACTAGAGGAAGGGAACTTTATGGAATTTACCATATACTAAATATCTAATATATGTTAATTATATTTTTTTGGCCCTACTGTGAGGGCAAACAACCCCTACAACAAATATATGTTAATTATCAATTATTAAATAAAATATCAAATATTAATTAACAGTATTAAACATATTGTTAATACATTATGGTAAGTTTATACAATATAATATACTATCATATGCTACGTTATATTGCAAGATAAAAAACATATAGGGAAAACGGTTCCTAAGGTGTCACCTTAGATTTAATCCAAGGTGGCACCTTTTGATACATGGATTAAACTAGTAATCCATTCCAATGGATGATCCGCTCTATTCATTGTGATCTAAATGTCTCAAAACATCTACAAAACAAAAATCATGATGTTTTAATACTTTTGAAACATTTTTTATTGCCTCTTTAGTTGTATGGTCATAAAACCGATAAGTTTACAATCGCTTAATGCATGAGTAACTATAATCCAATATGCCTAACTTTTTGTTTATATATCATCGAAAACATATAGATCAAAATGAATGGAGCGGAGGAAATAACTTAACTGCATATAATATAGTTTTGAAAGTGCCACCTTAGATATAACAATTTCTTATAATAGAATATAACACATTATGTTATAGTATAATCCGTCAATATAATATACCATATTAAGCAAGTTTGATACGGTAATTTAGGCTTAATTGATACATAAATATCATATTTTAAAAAGATGCTACGCCATCAATTTTCCCACTCCCACTCTGATTGTTCCATTCCTAATTTGAAAGTGGCTCACTAGCCCAATTTACCCCCACTCAACCTGTTCCAATAAGTTAAAATTGTCCACCAAGACAACAGTCCCACTTGTCAGCAAAAAAACAGCACATGCCTTTGTTTAAAATATATCAGACTCTTTGTCCATATAAACGTAAGTAATGCATACATTACAAAACAAATTAAGCAGATTTTGGTGAACTGATAAGGCACTGCTAAACCCAAGTTCTCAATAATTTTAGTTTACAATAATTGTACATGGAAAAAAATCAAGTATTAACTAAGAAATCCGTACTGAAAACTGAAACTGACCTGGACAGGTGATGCAGCTGTCAGAAGTCCTGCCACTCCGCCACCTAAGACACGACCATCAGGACTGAAACACTAAGCCCACCAGTTCTACTACGCTGGCCACCACTCTCTGAAAGCAGAAAGGAGCCTGAGAGCGACAAGATTTCAAACCGTCCCTGTATTTGAAACATAAAAGAAACCTTTAGCGAGATGTTACCTTGTTTTACAATCACAGAAGGTAAAAGTAGTTGAAGAAGCAGGCACCTCTACTCACCATTATTCTAGTTTTATATGAAGGACAGTACATTAAAGTTGAGCTATATGTCAAAGGCCCATTCTTACCAATGCAACTCTCCTACCATGAATTTCCCCCGCTTAAATTGTTGTAAACTTCAAACATTTACATTAATTTTTTTTACTGAACCTGAACGTCCAAGCGGTGTTAACAACTAGCACTAAATTACAGTCTTAACCTTCTTCCTAAATTTTTATGTAAGCCACGAAATGTACAACATGAAGGGCAATTATGTGACATTTCTGTTAAATCTAATATACCTGTGCTCTGCCTAATCAAATAAAAATTTCAGGCCTTTACGGGCAAGGCATACAGTAGCCAAACCCAAAATAGGTCAGGTCCTAGAAAGTAAGGGCACAAGCTCTTGAAACCACAGGTCTTCATCCTTCTCATACTTTTCCAAAAAAAATATAATAAATAAGAATGACAAAATGGAGAAAGTACAAATTTAACTTGCAGGAGACACATACACAAAAGAAGACTGTAATTTCTGCTGTAACCAACCTCCAAAAAAAAGCACACATACACAAAAGAAGAAGGAAAAACCAACCTCCAACAAAAAGAAAAAAGAAAAAAAGAGAAAAGGAAAAAATAATTAATTAAAAAAAGAAAGGTCTCTTATCAAGTACTGTTCAAAGAAAAATGATATAAACCTTAATCAGCATAGGCGAACGAGAGGAGACAAATCATAGAAGGAATCTACACTACCACCAAACATAAGGGGCGGAGCTAACCTCATAAGTTACAGTTCCACCAGAAGTTGCTGCCTGACGAAGAGTCACATTAGATATTGAACCGTTTGCTGAAAGAACGCAGACTGCACGGGTGTCGTTCTGAGAAAAAGACATGATCTTTGACGATACATCCTACAAAATGGAAGTCTATAGTTAAGCAACTAAATGCCTTAATTCACTATTAAATTTCAAGATGCCGTGAAGTCAAAGAGACCTCTAGTGATGCTTCCTCTACATACCAAATAATATATGCAATAGGGAAATTTCAATAAAAATTATTTTTAACTATTAACACAAACAAGGCAAAATTCACATTCTACACCCAACTTCTCTCAAATTGGCTAATATCAGTGATGTTCGTAGACTTTTAAGGCCTGAATTTTGCGACAATAACAAGTTTAGAGATGAGAATGAATGAAGGATTCCTGGGCTGTAAAAAGGTTAAATAATCATATGAACAGACAATTGAAAAAAATTGAAATAAGAAGAGTTGAATTGCTGCTGTAACCATATTCTAAACACATTCATAATGTAAAGATAAATTATGTGAAATAGAATTTATTTAAGTAAAACTATTGCCATAAGTTTCTCTTGTAATTACACTGACACTGTGTATTTCAGCTGATTACATTCCTCCTTACATAATAATAATAATTAATGACATCTCAGAGCAACTTGACAATATTATTGTTGGTAGAAACATTTCAACAAAAATGAAATGTCTCGATCATCTGAAGCCGATTATTTAAGAAGTTATGTATAACCAGTCTAAGAACCAATAAAAATAAATACTAAGATATTCCTGCCATGCTAAGAAACAAAAACAGTAACATTGTTAAACTTCATTCAAAAGCTAAGATTGACATTTTAAATAGAAAACAAATTTACCATCGGATGAAAAGGCAATCATCACATTTTTATGATAAAGAACCTCCACAGTGTTTTACCCATCAAGAAGGAATTTCTTTCCAAATTCCAATTACTCACATTTCACATTCTACATTTACATAAATGAAAGCTCTTTTAAGTCAATTATATGCTAAACATATAATGGATATAGAGAAGAAAGCCGTCCTCGACTAGAATTAGAGGGAACAAAGGCGAACTTACTTGGTGACAGTAAAGTGACTGTTTCACTTTACACCTTCGTTATTAAAGGAAAAGGTTGCAACTTGTATCAAAGTCAGTATCTATAAAACTAATTTAGAAGTACAAATATCAAGCAATATTGATCCTGTCAGACAAAAAGGAAATTCTAATAAAGGAGTGAAAAACATCCAGTACAAATTACAGAATACCAAGATTGCGTCACCTATCCTCATACAATAACTAACTAGACTATCAACCATATTTTTCTGCAAGTAGAGAATTTAAATCAAATGAATCATTACAAAACAACTTTCCAGAAATGCAAAAATCACTCTCAATACTACTGATTACATTAAGTGTCTAATTTAATGAAGAAACATGAGCAATAGATACCAAATATAAGATCTAAAGCATCAACTGTAGCCACACACCAGAAATATTGTTTTAAACGCATTATTGTTGGTAGAGAAATACCAACAGCCATTAGTAGCATGCAGTAGAGGAAACCAATACCTCTCCAGCCTTAACGGTGATAATATGAGGGATAAATCCTGTCCCTGCAGACCCTGCAAATGATCCAACAGATAAGAAATTTAAACCGTAACTAAAAATGTACAAGCATAAGAAACAAAGACATCAAATAATATCTCAAACCAAAGATTCAATTTGACAATTATAGTCAGCAAACATAAAATAGATCCAACAAGAACAAGTAATTGTATTAAAACAGATAAAAACATTTAGCAAAGAATTGTACACTGAATAATACTTATTTCAGATCTATCATATTTACTTGGGAATTTTTTTGTTAAAATATCTGACCCGCCAAATGATGCACCACCATATTCATGTATGTCTGCCGACCCCAAACATTTGGGATAAAGGCTTGGTTGTTGTTGTTGTTGTTGTTGTATATTCATGTATGTCTTTCTACACTATACTTACCAAATTCATCAATTACAAATTATCTAAAATAACTATTACCCCGAATTTATAATCTAGTTACCACCATAATAACAAGACCAGAGGGTACAAAGTAGTTCCATGACACTACAGGTCCTGCATGTCAGATTTACCAAAACAATCATAGTATAATATAAGAAAAAGATAGGCTACATCACTCAAGCCCCCATATTTACTGTCAGAGCTAAATCAAGGCATTCCAAATCTGTGATTCATATAAAATTCCATTACATGACAAACCAAACACAGCAACAAAAGGGCAAGTATAGAGATTACCCAGAGCATCCATCTGCACCTTCCTCCCCGAACCCGGAGGCCGGCCCTTCTTCTTCATGCCATCAGGCCCGCTACCCGGCGGGCCCGACGAAGGGGGCGAAACAGGGGACAATGCGAGGGCCATGGAACCATCAGGCCCATACTTTCTAGGCCTCCCTCTCTTCTTCCTAATGGGCTCGCCCATATTCATGTTAAGCCCGTGAGGAGACGGGATTGCCGGAGACGGCCCATTACTGCCTCCGGTGGGCCCACCATCAGCTCCTCCTCCTCCTTCTTGATATGAATGTGTTTGAGGAGGGGGAGGGGGAGGAGAGCTAGTCGGTATGGGTTTGTAGACGGCGGTGCCGTCAGGGGTGAATGTTAGCCGCATGTTTTGCATTGACGGCGGAGATTGGACGGTGGGTTTCTGCACCCCAAGGGTAAAGGGCTCTCTACTGGCCATAACTCCGGTATCAGATCTCACTTCCATTGCTCAAAGGAGCAAACTTTGCATGCAGCAGTAGCTCAAATCCAAGAATTGGAGGGAAAAGTAGGGATTTTTCGAGGAATGATAAACTTGAAAACCCTAGAAATGAACTTGGCTGCCAAAACAAAGACAACTGAAGCAAACCAGAACTGGAATTGCACTTAAAAGGGAATTTTTGGAGTTTTCTTCACAGTAGAACACTTAGCACTCACTCAAACTCTTTAAAAAAACTAAAATTGAGCTTAAATCAACAAAACCCTAAACCCTAGACTCCAAAATCCATCCTTTTTACCATAAACTACAACAACAAGAACTCACAATTTACAGTACTCGTACAAAATAACCAACAGGAAAATAACTAAAACCCTAGCTCTAAACAAGTTTAAGAAGTCCCTAAAATTAGAACACCCAACTGCAAGTTCTCCCCAGAATTCCTCATTTTTTTGAATTTCAGTGGAAATTCAAGAAATTGGCGGTAATTTTGGAGAAATAGACAGAAAGTTGTAAAATAAAGGGAGGAAAAAAAATGAAAATTTGATGATTTTTTTTAAAGAAGAAGAAAAGGGAATAAAACTCTAGTAACCCTACTCCGATGATTTCAGACAATGGGGAGAAATTTGGGGGAAATCGATGTAATAAATAACTATTTATTTTTCTCTCTCTTTTGATTTTTTGTCTCTTTTTTAAATTTCCAAGAATCCTCGAGAGAAGAGAGGGGCTTTATTAAAAATTAGGAAAAAGGCCGGTAAAGCAGGCAATTTGTGCTTGGGTGCCAAATAGTAGAAAAAATAAAGGTAAATACTTTTTATTTTCTAAACACCCCCTAATCTTTTTGTAATTATGCACCGGTCTACTCTCAAGAGTAGGAAACAATAATTGATGTACCTTGATCTATTTTTTTCTTTTTGCTCCTTACTTTTTCTAGGAATATGATTGTTCTTTGGTTTGTATTGTGCTTTATGCAGGGATGCCATTCGTTATATTTAGTATTCTTTCTTTTTGGGTCCAGATTTTTAAACTAACTTTTTTTTCCGTTCATATCTAGTGTATACGCGTGTGCGAAAAAACATTTTTAGGATTGCTTGTTTATGTCATGTAAGTTTCCACTATTATCATGAAAACCATATTTATCTTGAAAACCATCGTTATGACAAGTATTTTTTCCTAATGCTAGAAATTCTACACTGCGTTATCTCATTCATAGAAAATGAAATAAACGGTACGTAATCGAATAATTAGACTCTCACTAAAAATGCTGATTATGCTAGTAATTTTAGTTCCTGACTCTGAAAATTTGAAACACGCAATTGTTGACGTCGTCGTTCTATCGTTTTTACTTTCTGATTGCCAAACACACTATTAGTTAAAAAGGGTAAATTCTGAAATTCTTCAAGAGGGTTTCCAACGAAATCCCTCTGGACTTTTTCCACAAACCAGAGATGTGTCCAAAAAATCCTAAACTTTCAAGGTTTCCTATGGCCTCATTAACCATGTCATTAGTATAGCCAACCTTTTTTTTTAACTTGTGTAGAAAGTTAGTATTTGTTTATCCCTTGACAAAGAGAGAGTTGATGGGAAATTTTAAAAAGTTTAGAGAGGCAACCTGGAACACCGAACACCCAAAGTTCAAGCGGTTTTGTGAGATACCCCTCCCAAAGTTTAGGGAACTTGGTGAATTCACACCTAACAAAATTCTTGATAACTTATGACTAATATAATAATTAAAAAAAACCACAATTGCTTTTATACTCTTTTGGCATTATGTTATACTAATGACAACAGGCTTATCCGTTATATAAACAAACACCCGTCAATTACTTGCCAATGCCTTCATCGCAAATTAATTGTAAAGTAAGTGTTAACGGATAAGTACGAAAATCAATTTTACGAAACTTGAACAGCACTTTTCCGTTGAGAGAGGGGGATCTTTTTAATGAGGGAGGAAAAAGACAAGGACTAATGGACATGAACCCACACTTTTATCTCTTTTTTTCTTTTCTTTTTTTTAAAAAAAAACCCAATAAGGGTGAAAATGTAATAAGAGAAATGTGAGCACCTATGAGTTTTAGGTACTGGGGGGGGATTTTTTTTTTTAAAATTTTAAATTTTTTGTTTGGCAGAGTCTTATTAAAAAGCGAGGAAAGGACAAGTGCCCCTGCCCATGTGACTTCATCTCATTACAATTGACCCTCAATTACTCCACCATACTATTTCAAATGACAACAAAAGCAAAAGCTAACCAAGATTCTCATGAAACCATGATCACTCTTTACTATCGCTCTGTCTCTTTTGTGAGGGGGGCATTTAACTTTTAGATTTTTTTCTTCTTGTTTTCCTTTCAAAAAAAAAAAAAAAAGTTATTTGCAATTCGTGCTGGCTTCAACTTTTCAAGCCTCACCAGTGCACGCACCTGTATACAACAACCGAGCGCTTTTTATTTTCCGTGATCCTTCTGCGGTTTAAATTGGTTAGGAATACTATTTTACAATGCGAAACAAGTTTGTAAGGCATCGGCTTAGATTATAATCTGAGGATACGCTTTCAAAATTACATTATACGCAATCAGTTTACTTGATCTGCACCGTTTATATTAATCCATATACGCTTTAGGGTATACTAACAAAAAAAAATTAGACATGTTAGATTATAGTTACTCATACATCACGTAATTATAAAATTAATGGTTTTGAAAGACTTTGGTTTTCAGATACTTGTAAAGAGTGGGAAAATTGTGAGAAGGGTTGTAGTACTTGGTAGAGAAAATTGCTTCAACCCCCTCATAATGAAGAGCGCCTGAGCTGTCCCCCATTTTGACTTTTTGGCTGTGAAAACAAGCTCATGATACGCGTACAAGAATAGTACAATTCTTATGGTGCACTCATTAAATGGTAGTCAAGTACCGGTACAGAAAAGATTTTTGAGGAAACATATGCGCAGATATTGGTTCACATCGGAATGATATCCACGCATCATTCCGATCATTGTCGTACTTTGATAGCGACCGTGTTCGCTGAAACCATCACCAACCAAAATAGCATTACATAGAGCCGTATCCATTACAAGGGGAGGTGTATCTAATAGTGAGGCGCAAAATGAGAAACAACTTGGTTTTTGGTGGAAAAAACTATACATTCATTCCTAACTTTAGAGTACAAGGGAAACAAAACAAGCTTGGTTCCTCTAACCGAGCCACCTCTATGTTATTCCAAACTATCGTTTTATGCTTTACCATGGTAAGGGAATTAACCTCATTCGGTTTCCAGGAGGAGCCTATACATCGTGATTTCTTGCTGCTTGAAGTATCGGCGATCTTCCTCATCGACGAGGACAAGGTTCAGGTAGTACTTCACGCTGAATTTGTTGTTGATGTTACGATAAGTTGGAGTTAGTTCATATGGGCTCAAAAACAATCTAATCGGGATTGATTCGCCTGCAATAAGAAGAGAAAATAACGAAAATAACGGGAAGTACAAAGTCTTTGTAAAGGGAATTTAACTAAGCACACAGTGTATCTAAGCAGAGAAATTTGTTAGTGAAAACGTTAAAAGAAACATTAACAATAATAACGAGAATTACAAACGTTTTGTAAAGGGAATTTAACTAAGCACACAATGTATCTAAGCAGAGAAAGTTGTTAGTGAAAACGTTAAAAGAAACATTACTTACATCAGCATGATTTTAATCGAGAAAATATAACTTGAATAACATAATCTGATAGGGGTCAAAATAATCCATATGGAATAATTCAAAACAACTATTTCTGATGCTGCAATTACAGAATATCCACTTTCCATGTTAATCCATCTAAAGTTAATCTCGTCAGAATTAGCAATTAATGAAGAGCACAAGAATTTGATTAAAAGTTCCACGTAATATAACAAATATCTGCTAAATCTACTTATTAACAATCAAAATCCTGTCAGCATTGTCATTTTACTAACTTCAAAATATACATCCATTCGATAAGTTCTACATTTCTTATGCTCTTCTTCAGCTTCAGACTTTATTTTTTTATTATTTTTTAATTTTTATAGTCCTCTTTAACTCTTTGCACTACGTAACATGAGGGTAAATTTTAATTAGGAAATACTTTTTTAATCTCTTTGCAACTCTCCATGTTGTAAAAAAATCTATCCTGAAGGCCTGATCTGTACTGTTTATCTCAGGGATATACTAATCATTGTTAATATCTCAACCATATAAGATATGCATATCACAATTTGATAAGATTTTCAGGGATATCTTCTGTATGCGTCATTGGGTAATGGGTCAATGTATCTTATGGTACAAATAGCATATCTTACAACGACCTCTATAATAATATTCATATGCAACATTTAAAAATAAATAACTTTACTTATAAATAAATTTCAAAAGAATTTGGAAAAAATGTTATGTTTAATTGTTTATTTACAGAATGTACGAAATTAGCGTAGTGCCGTAACAAAAGAGAAAATATGCTCCCAATTAACCTATTTAACTGACAGAAAAATACAACTTGCCAGTGCAATGTCCAATTTTCTTTCTCCATTCACTGTTAGAAGCATCACTAATTTCCAACTGTTAGAAGCATGACCAATCAGACATTAAGTTTTTTGATGAATTATAAAATACACACTCATCAGTTGGTAAATTTTATACTTCTTACTGAATTTGTTATGAAAGGGTCATATCAGATCTGATCAACTTATGTTTTTAGTACAGGTTCTAAATCCAAACCCTACAAATGTTCCAATGATCTGTTGAGTTCTCAGGTAAAAAGGGCTAAAAGAAATTAATTGAAGGATTATGACAATTGTAGATTCTTCCAGGTAATATAACAAATATCTATTGACGGTATATACTGCCCAATGATTCTTCTTTTTAACCCATATCTATTGAAAGTATATACTGCCCAATGATTCTTCTTTTTTTAATTGGAAATATATAATTTACACTTTTTGTCAAGTTGTACATTGTTTATTCAACGTAAGACTTTTTTAGGAATTTGATATCCCTACTCATGACTACAACCCCAAATATGGCACATGATTGAGTTTTGGGTCAAGCCCAAACTTGATCAGTCAGGCTGGGAGCTTGGTTTAAGCCCAGGTCTAACACAGGTCGAGCTCATCGCTGGCCAGGGCCTGCTTCAGGCTTTCCACCAGCACCATTTATGGAGTACATAGATGATGTCACTCCAAATAGTTTCATCACATATTATGTACCGGTCTATATATTCAACATAAAGTGGGATATCCTTTCCAGAAGTCAGATTACATCATTACATTGTATATTTGTAAGCAATATCTTGGTTTTCTCCAGTAATTTTCTGAACAAGTAAAACAACATTTCCCCCCCAACAATGACAGATGACATTGACTGCAGTTTGAAGTATTAGTTTTGAGGATAGTTACATAAGTTCAATGATAGTAGTATAATAATGTATAATACTGCAACCTATCACACTGGTAATATATAACACATCATTGTGTAGAATCTTAAACCACCAATAGCCAGAAGCTATTACAAAAAAACAAGTGACTGTCTAATGAACTAAAACTTGTGATAAAGTCATTAAAAAAACATACAATCTCTTTGTGCTTCTATCAACTCATATTTGCTTGGACACATGTTAAAACTGACATTTTCTACAATTCTCTTTATCTCATACCAGCTCTTGCAATATAAAACAATAAGGCAGAGTTGTCTTGTTGAGGGAGAAAAGAACAATAAGAGACTGTAGTACAGGGCATACCTCTGACAGGAGCACCATCCATCAACTCAAACTTTGCAAGAGTTTCGGTCTCGACATATGTATTAGGACCTGACCCAGTAGATTCTCGACGCCTAATTTCGAGTTCCATATTTTTAATCTTAATTCTTACTAGAAGAAAGTATATCTTGCCAATAATAATATCCTTTAGATGATACCTGAATGATATAAGCTCCATCAGAAAGGGAAGCATATATGACAAACATCATAATAGGTCAGAAGAAACAAAAGTAGATAAGCAGGGTATGTAAAACAGGAATTACTTGCTTTTGTTGTACTCAAACTCAATATGCAAGCAATCTTCAATTCCAACTTCCATCTGCAAGAAACAAACCAACTTAATCAGGATTGAATAAACTAATGAAGCCAAATGTTGAACACATGTGCTAGCAGTAGTATATGCATGATATATAATAAATCAGCTAGCCTTGTCTTCGGATTTGAGAAATCCTTCTAAGAATTAGTAATAAACTTTTTCCAATTAAACCTTTTTCTTCAGATCTACAATGTCTCCTAATTAAGATAAACGGTAAACTTTAAAATAAAGATAGTCCTTCACTGAAAATTAGATAGATTAAAATAAATGTAGATACATTACATCATTATACAATCACAAGCATAGATTTAATTAGATACTAAAATATTTATAGTTACTTGTTGGCTTTACTGTTTGCTCATGATATGATCCTTTACATTTATTTCCCTGGTACATATATAACATACTAAAGCATCTGAAAATCTAAAACAATCACTAACCTTGATGCTATTGTTGATAGTTGGTACTGGAGTATAGTTGCGGACCTGATGAAATAACATCAGAAGAAATTAA